TGATAATATTGTTAATTTACCTAATAAAGAATGTTACGCGTTACTTTATTAGCACACACACAACTACTGTATTTTTGTCCACCCTGTACCAATTGGAATCAACATGTGATACATTTTTGGAATCAGCTCAGCTAGAGTAATCCGAAAATTGAGACAAAATGGGGGTGTTCCATTTAAAAAAAATGACGGTGACGTCATTACTCGAACGTAATTCACCCTGTATATTAGATCATTATTTTAAAATACGGTAAATTAACATCAAAAATCGACGTGTTTCAGGATTATTTCCTAAAATGACCTGTTTAGCTAAAAATGAATTTGTTCCATACTTTACGGACACAGTGTATACCATGAGTATATACAAACAAAATATTCGAGAATACTATTCTGAAATTACTAACAATAAAATACAAATACAATAGTATACAATTATTGTGAGAGCAAAATAAATATAATTATATTATGTATGCTTATACACATTAAATTAATGGCAGGTAATATAATTACGAATTATAGATACTGCATATAAATAATACAATTTTTCTGAACTGTGTTAATAATGTAAAAGACTTTCAAATGTGTTCTTATATATATAAAAGTGTGAACATGTAAAATGTTGAATAATAAATATCGAAATAAAAAATATGAATTTTTAGGATTTCAAAATAATCGAATATACCGATATACAGGTACTGAGTGTACTTAGGATACCATTATTATGAATATCTAAATTTACTTTCAATTTTCAAATATTGACCGTATATAATGACGATTTTTTTACAAATAGTTTTAAATCTCTTTTGAATCTGAATGCTGACATTTCGTTTTGCAGTGTTTCAGGAAGGAGATTAAATACTTTTGGTGCTAAATATTGATACCATTTTTGGCCTATTGATTTCGAAGCGAAAGGTACTAAATAATAATGTTTTTGTCTTGTAGTATAGGTTTGAGAAGATTTAATAATTTCGGTCTTATTGAAGAACTGAGTTGTAGCGATGTGGTAAAAGAGTGTCTAATATCAAAAATCTCAGGTTCTTCATAGAGAGCATCACTCGCGTATCTGTTGTTTTTGAAAAATATCATTCTTTCTTACAATCTTTCTTACAATATCAGTATCAAATGAACTCGTTTCAACTGAGATGCACTGGTCTCTCCATTTTGTAATTATAAATCTGTATGATTTTTTATTATTTTGATAATACAATTATAATTCACGTTTCAAGGCTGTGGCTGTATAGTTGGATCTTATTGATATTTCCACACGAGCGTAGCTAAATCCGTTCGACTGAATGGACACTACTATTTATAAACAGAAGTTTCTATCCCACAGAAATCAATGAGGTATCGAGTTTATATTGCGATAACGCAATATATGTCGTGCATTAGATAACTATCAATCAATGACATCAATTACTTATTCAGTTAGCTAATCTTTAATGCAAATGTTACAATATTGACATTCCTTGCCGCTGAGGTTGAAGTATCTATATGGAAAACCAATAATTTTTCTTTGAAACTTTGAGTATACTACGTGAATAAGTAGTTACAATACTTGATGATTCACCCGTAATCCTCACAGTGTATGAACTACGGGAAATCCCCATTGCATTAAAAAATTCAATATAACGTAGAATAAAAGTATTTTCCAAAGACCATTGAATTTGAATAACAGACTATGAATTTTATTACTTTTCGAGTGTCATGTGGAATATAAGCTCTTGTTTACTTCAATACTTTGAAAACATTCATTGTTTCAATTGTGAATGGTCTATCTTACTATCAGATGGATATTACAAATAGATATTTCGAAACGAAACATTCATCTCTCCCAACATTCTTGCACAGTTGATTCTAATAAATTCCTACGGAAAAACTACTACTTCCCCGGCTAATACCTGATGTACAGATGTACATTGAATTAAATCCGACACACATTTATGCAAGATACCTCACACAGGTTAGTCTTGCAGATGTTTCTCGTTTCTTCATCAGCAGGACACTATATACGCTGGAGTCAATCGGTTTCAAGGTATTACCTCTTATCAGTGCAGAAAAGATCCAACTCAAACAGCAGTGCCTGGGATTCGATGAAGTCGACGAAGGCCGTTTTGGCTTGAACCTGTTGGCGAAGGTTCTACCGGTGACAAAGTTATGGAAGTGCTTCAAAAGATGGTAGTTGGTTGGCGAGAGGTCTAGGAA